CTGCCCGCGGAACTGCTGACCAGCTCCAGCAGCCTGCCTGCCTGCCCGCCTGCCTGCCCGCCTGCCTGCCCTGCTCCGCCTACCCACCTATCCGCCCACCCACCTGCCTGCCGCCTGCCCCAGATGGTGGAGGGCCTCAAGGTGACCACCGACAAGGCGGCGGCGGCGGAGCAGATCAAGGGGCTGTACCGCCTGTTTGTGGAGAAGGACTGCACGATGGTGGAGGTGGGGAGCTGCCTGCCGCCGCGCGGTACAAATGTGCAGTGCAGTCGCAGTACAGCGTCTCGCAGCCGCGGCCAGCCTGTCTCGCTGCGGCCCTCAGCCCGCCGCCGGCCCCTCCCATCACCGCTCCGCGCCGCCGTCCCTTCCGCTCGCCCTCCACCTTGCCCATCGCCCCTTCCCCTGCCGGTCACCGCGCCCGCCTGCGCAGGTCAACCCGCTGGCAGAGACCGACACCGCCCTGGTGGCGGCGGACGCCAAGCTGGGGTTCGACGACAATGCCGCCTTCCGCCAGCCCGAGCTGTTTGCGATGCGGGACGAGAGCCAGGAGGACCCGCGGTGAGGCTCCCCGCCCGCCACGCACGGCACGGAGGCAGAGGGCTGGTTGGATGGGAGCAGGCCCGCCGCACATGACCGCGGGGTTTGGGGCTGGCGGCGTGGGAGCAGGGCACCTGGGCTCTCACGCGGCAGTTACAGGCAGCGGGCGCCTGCGCGGCCGGCCCTCCCGCCTGGCCAGCACCGCTGCCACTGAACCGCGCGGGCCTGGCGCGCCGCGCTGTGTGTGTGTTTTCTTGCGCGCAGCGAGGTGGCTGCCGCCAAGTATGACCTGAACTACATCGGCCTGGATGGATCCATCGGCTGCATGGTCAACGGCGCGGGTGAGCCCGCAGCTCCTGCCCGCAGCTTGCGCTCGCCTCGCTCGCTCTGCTTTCCGGGAGGGCGGCGGGTTTGAGCTTGCGGAGGGTAGTCGGCCTGGCTGCGTGCCACGCCAGCAAGCGCAGCACGCAGGCGCTGTGCCCCTGCGGTACCATATCCCCTACGGTACCACGCTGGCCTGCGCTGGCGCTGAGCTGGCGCCGGCGCCTGCCCCCGCTATTATTGCATCCCTTTGTTTTACGTTTTCTTGTGCTCAGGGCTGGCCATGGCCACCATGGACATCATCCAGCTGCACGCGGCGCGCCCGCCAACTTTTTGGACGTGGGCGGCAACGCCCGCGAGGACCAG